AACAGACAGATTCATAGTGGAGAGGGCTAAACTGGGTGGCTCCTTGGAGGCAAGAATTCTGAGGCTCCGTCTGACATACTTTAGACATGTTGTAAGAAGGGACCAGTCCTCGGAAAGGAACATCATGCTTGGTAGGGTGGAGGGACAGAGCAGGAGGGGAAATCCATCTATGAGGGGGATTGATTCAGTGACTGGGGTAATCAGGGTGGGTGTGTCAGAGACAGTGAGAATAGCACAGAATAAACAGAGCAGGGATTAGGGCTGTTGTATATAGGGTTGCTATGAGTTGCAAGCGATGTGACAGCATATAACAACAATCTTTCAATTCAATTTTTTCCCTCATTCACTCATTGTCGCACATTTTCCTCCCTGTTCACCGCTACCACAGTTCTTTTTTCTCTTTGGAATAAAAAAATTCTTTCATTGTTATACAATCCCCCCCCCCAAGTCCACAGTCCCCTTTACTATGAATTGCTTTTTCTGTAATCTTGTCATGAAAATAATACCTAATCCTAATGTATACTGCACTGAAACAGTTTAGGAAGAGAATTGTTCAAAAGCTCACTATTTTTAAATCCTAGACCTGATTAGTCGTCAACTCACCACAAGTTCTTAATACATAAACTACTAGTCTCATGCCTTATTTACAAATTTGAGGTTAGTCAGTCTCTCCAAACATGGTAGTCAAGAGAAGTTAACAGCCTAATGCTTGACACATGGATGTGGAAGTTGACAGCTTCCACAACTATGTAAACTATTTCCTTAAAGTAAACCTCTTTTCTTGGAGGAAGTGCAGTGTTTCTTTAAAAAAAGGTTGCATAGAGAAGTGTACTCCAGGTGGGGGTGGGGGGAAGGGACGTGGGAATTGTATACTAAAGAAGGAATTTTTTTTCTTTTTCTTTTTTTTTTTCTCTCTTCGGAGGGGGAAGCAAGTTGGTGGGGAGGGGTGGGAAGGGAGAAAATTGCAGCAATGAATGAATGGAAATCCAAAACCTCTGTAAAAAAAAAAAATTTTTTAAAAAAGATGATGAAACTTTGTCTCAAGTAATTAAGGCATGTTTTTGAGGAGGGCTACCCCTTAGAAAAAGATTAACATGCTTGGAAAATAGTCAGGCAGATAAGATGGACTGATTCAGTGATTGCAACTATGGGCTTGAGAATTAAGGAGATTGTGAGGGTAGATCAATAAAGAGCAGGGTTTCGTTTTGTTGTTTATAAAATGGCTTTAAGTTATACTTGACTGTATGGCACCTAATAACAGGAGATTCAGCCATGAATAAATTCCATTTTGACAGCAATGGAATATATATATATATAAATATAAATAAATAAATAGGTAGATAGATAGATAGATAGACAGACAGACAGAAAGATAGGTAATTAAAAGCAGGAGTGGCATTCACTTTCTAAACAACATGCCTCTGGAAACTATGAACTTAGATAAATGACAATAGTTATAGAAATGCTTCAGGCCTTTTGTTCACAGGGTTATTATGAGTCGTGCTCAACTCGACGGCAATCAACAATTTTTATATATATAAATATCAAAAATATTATATATACATGTAGTATATATATTATATGCACATGGAATACATATATATGGGATGTGTGTATATTTATATACATATGATATACAGACACACACTATGCATATGGTAGAGAGCTCTGGTGGCCTTGTGGTAAGAAGCTTTGCTACAATTCCAAAGGCATGTTGTTCAAATTCACCAGTTGCTCAATGGGAAAAGGATGGGCCATTCGCTCCCATGCAACTTACTGCCTCTGGAAACCCTTTGGAAGGTCACTGGAGGGTCAGTTCCAACTCGACAGAACACAACAACATCCGTGTATGTATATATGTGTGTGTATGGAGAGTAAGAGACTTGGTGTGTATATAATATTTATACACTTAATAATTACTATATATATTTGTAAATTATATGTTTCACTAACTTTACTCTTATAGAGAATATAGCTTGTGACAGTCCCAGCTTAATAAAGAGTAAATAAAAATTCTTTAAAAATTTATATGTTTGATGTGGTACTTTAAGTATGTATTAAATAAAAAAACATCATAGAGACATTAAAGTATGACCATCATGAGGTCAAGGAATGAAACTAGGTGGTAGAAGAGAAAGGAGAAGGGAAAAAAATATTTAACTTAATATTTGTGTACTATTGTATCATTTGAATTTGAGTCAATCATGTTATGTTGTTTGATTTTTAATCAATCAACTATAAAAATTTAAAAATTGTATTTCCCAGAATTAGGTTTTGAGGAGGGAAAAAGGTCCCACCTACAAGGGCCCTTTCTTTTCTTAGTTTGAAAGTACAGACTATCTAGATATACCCCTAATATTTTATTGGTAGTAAGTCAGAAAACCTACTGGAATAGTAATCCAGAAATTCATTATTTGTGTGTGTGTGTGTGTGTGTGTGTGTGTGTGTGTGTGTGTGTAAATATAGACAGATGGATAGATAAATAGATAGCATGGTATTTTGAAACTTTATCAACAGAAAAAAATATGCTTTTAAAAAAAATGAACAAT